CTCCCCTTCAAAATTTTAACAAAAACAGGCATTCCAGGAGTAGTCAACGTTCTTACTGTGGTGGGGGCAAGTTTTCTTATTGCACATAGATCCCACATGCGTAGAACTCTGGCCACCTTCTCTAGTACCCGGTATGTCTTCTTTGGAAGGCTTACTAGGGAAAAAAAAGGGAGAAAATACTAAGGAAAAAATGCTGAAGACTCCCGGAAAGCCACCTGCAGAGGAGGCTAAAGAATCTCAGACCACCGCTTGTCTGCCAGCCTGTCAATCAACCCAGCAGTGGGAGGATGCTGCTGACAGAGGAGGAACAGTAATAGCTTCCAGAAGAGGCATGATGGAGAGGAGACAGGAGCCATGACGTTTTCGTCATGCAGAAAAGCACTATGAAGCAAATATCACTTTGCATATCCATGTATAATTCACTGGTGATAAATTTCAAATTTTGATAACCGACCAAATTCAGTAGACTCTATCAGGCTCTGGGAAGTGGCTGGAAAGAGTAGAAATTGGCCAAAAGGACAGATAACATACCATTGAAGCTGCAATGTACTGTCTACTGGGCCAACTCCCCTGATATGTTATCTGCCGTTCTGACCAATTTTCTCTTAACGCTGCTTCCCAGAGCCTGCTGGAGACTACAAATTCAGGGCAAACCCAAGAGAAAGACTTCCTTCCCGATATATCTTGGAGATAAGGCTTACCCCCTCTGAGACTTTTTTGCAGTCTCTATCTGAATTTATCTTATCACTGTTGTCTCCCAGCTTGTGGTGATCAGTTCACAGCATGGTGCCTACAAACCACATTGTTTATACAAGTGTGAGGGGGTTAATGGATAAGATAACTTCAGAGTCACGCTCCACTGAAACAGGGGATAGGTTAGTGTGCACCAAACCTATGTCTTTTTACCACCAAGACATTCTCCTATGGTGAGGGTAAATAAACAGATGAAGAAAGTAACTTGGGTGGCATACTTTGAGGTGTTTTTACAATCAATAGATTTTTCTTACATATCTCTCAACAGAAGTGGCTGAAAAATTGATAGATGTACAAGACTGTTCATCAGAAACATGCTGAACTGGATGCATGGTTATAAATATTGCAGCTTCACCCTTGAGAATTAAAAGTTCATCCTTTTACTAGCATTGCTCATAATACAGACTGTGATTTTCAGAAACTCCATATTCTTCAGGACTTTTTTTAAATATTGAAAAATAGTTGCATCAATCTAATACAAACATTAACATCTTTATCTAAAAGGCTGTCAAATCTCTATAAAACCTACAGCAGATTATGATATCAGAAACTTCAACCTGTCAATCATTCAGCAAGGTTATTAATGGCCCACCTGTCATGAATAATGGAGCTGGTCTAATGGGAAAGCAGGTGTTCAGGTTGTGTAAGTGTTTTAGAAGTTCACCTTGAGAGTCTGTAACAGAGACACGACGTGTCCAAACTGTCGTGAACAGTTCACACCTGGAGTGCCAACACAAAAGAACCTGTCATGG